CTGTTCGGTTGTAAACCACTGAGCAGCAGATTTGCTCTGAACAGACACGTGGCAAGCATTCATAGAGACACATTTTCAACACCGTTCCACTGTCCCGAATGCTTGTCGCAAGATAAGAAAGAGATCATCATCAATGGGCTGTCCGAATGGATCATCCATGCTACGAGATACCACGGGAAACGCAGCGCACCATATTGCCCTCAGAATTCGTCGCTGGCTAGCTCAGGGCGATCTCGCCGCATCAGATCATCCCAAAAGGCGGAATGCACGCTTTGTCAGGGACAGTTCGCTGCCGGCAATGGGTATTCAAGGCATATGAACTCGGCGCACCTGCATCAAGGCCTCTTCGATGAGCCTTTTCCCTGCCCGGAATGCAAAATCGCGGGGGTAGAAGCTTGGATCGAAGGGATTGAGTGCTGGCGCGAGCACACTTGGGAAGTGCATGGTTACAAGGGCCAGACAGGGCACAGGAAGTCTGATGAAGAATTTGAGGCAGCTGGGCTGGGCGGGGTGGACAGGGGGAAGAAGAGGATACAGGTGTAGTCCCAATGCTGCTATTGTACAAGATACCATCCGTGGTGCCTTTTTGCCATATTTGAAATCGAACCACATGTGGGCGCTTACAAGCCGAACACGAAGTGGGTCCCGCGCTTGACTCCCCTTACGCAAAATGACTTCCAGCAACAGGCAATGAGGTCCGCCCTCTGTATGTATGTGTAGTATATAACACAAAGTGGGATGTCTGCGAAAGAAGTAACAGTTTTCGCACGACCAATAAACCGCCCTATGAAGTTGCGGTCGCGTTCGCTTTGACAACATGTCCGAACGCCAGCAGATCACGCCGCTGAAGCCGTACGACCTAGAGGAGATCCGCAAAAGTCGGAAGCGTGCAGCCACCAAGTTTTCCAAGCGCCGCAAGACGTTCTTGCGCAGGGCGCATGATCTGTCGCAAGATTGTCAGGCCAAGGTGTACACCTTCATCGAATACAATCGTCGCACATGGGTCTTTACGAGCGAGCCGGATCAAGCGTCATTTCCGCCTACAAAGGATGAGATTGTGAGCCGAGATGCTTCCGAAACAGGCCATACCTGACTGACTGCTCATAGCTTCGAATCTATCCGCTTCCGGAGATATTCATACCTAGCATGTTCTCCACCTTGCCTCAGGTTCACAACGACAAGCATGACGTGGTAGATTCCGCGCTGTCAGACAGGTTTGATACTCACGCCGCTGATCAATGAACACCAAGCAATCGTGGGGATTGCAGACGAATGCCGCCAATCGTTCGACAGAGGCAGTTTGTATGGCGGGCTGGGCAATCGAGTGAGGACCAGACCGATAAGTCCATCGGATTGCGGAACTGCGGTGTAGGAGGCACGCGACAAGAGGAACAAGAGAACTCGCGCACAGCAAGAAACCCCCCTCGTATCTTCCCTCCTCACTGAGATATGACGTGCAGTCGAGGCCCACTGTCGCCGCTGCCGACAACTATGCGGGAGTCGGATTGACCGGTCTTTCATGGCGGGCGCGGTGCTGGAGGATCTGCCTTACCGCTCGTTCAAGATAGGGCCAGGCTCTCCGTTCTTGTTTGATGCCTGTTACTTCGAGTTTCGAGCTCCAATCAGTGCCACCACAAATGAGCTAGCGTCGGGGCCGCTCTGTATGTCGGCTTCCGATATCCTCCAAAGGCTCGTAATTATACGATGGTTGTTGTTGGAACCTGAGATTGTAGGATGTTTTGTCTGCGTCACAGAGTATATCTCGGGAATAAAGATTTTCAACTTGGGCCACGAGCTCTGTGGCACGTGGATAACTCTTACACAAATATATGTTTACCGACATTGTGCTTGTTCGCAGTTGAGTCTTCATGGGGCCCTCTGAAACTCCTCGCAGACTGGTTCTGGCATTCAGAGAAGGCTACCTTCAGCGTCAGTTGGAGTACCACACTCGTGCCTCTGAACAGCACTACCCGATGCGCTAGGGACCTGCCATCGTTCTCTCTTGCTCGTGAGTCGATGAGAATAGTGACGTGGTGGCCACGACTAGCTGAGGGACAAACTGAGGGAGCGTGGCTGACTCATCGCAGAAATCTGTCTATAAATACAGAGGCTTTCCCTTCCACTTTACACAATTCATCATCCTCTCCGCACAGCTCCTCCTTCCACTCACCCTGTGCAACGACGAGAATACACGCCATGAGCCTGTGGAGCACTTTGCACTCTCCAGGCGAGAGGCCTGCAGTCCCTAGTCCAACAACTACCGCAACGGTTAAGCAGGCTGTGCAACCACACATCGGATCCGCCAAGGCTGCTTCCGTTCGGTCTTCAGACAACCCCGACCATGACCATCGTTCAGTCGGTCAAGTGGTATTGTTCGCCGAGGAAGCGGTGCAAACGGCGACTAGTCCAAAAGTCAGCAGCCTGACCCCCGATGTGGCAGCCCCTGCCGCTCTACCATGTGGCCTGCTCGAAATCGGCAAGACAGTAGCCACTCTCAGTGACGCATCTCCACAAACTGATCTTTCAGCTTATCACAAACTAAAGAAAGCACGTAAGTGATGTCCCATGAAGCCTCACAACGCAGCGATGAAGAAGGGTCTGTAGTGACAAGTTTTCCCCACCAGCGTTGTCGCGGTCGAAGCCGGGCTCTGCACGATCCCGTCCTACAAAGCGCGCCAGAGAATCATCGATCGAACCACAGCCGCAGAGGAAAAAAGCCCCGAAGGCTGTCAAGCTTGACAGATCCATGGTTTATGACGTGGAAAATCTCACAAACTTTGCTTTCAGAAACGGCACCATGTATTGCAAGGCTGAATGGGCTCCCACAGAAGTCCAGCTTTGTGATGTAGTTGGAGACGAAGCAATGGCGATTTGTGAACGAGAAATCACATCGCGATTCGGGGCTGACGTATGGGCGAAGCAGAAAGCTGCTTGTTTTGACCAGAAACCAGAAATCCAAGATGTAAACGATCGGATCACGTCCTAATTGGGTGAGGTGGATGGGTTTTAATGGTACACTCGTTTTGGATTGTATGTACAGGCTTGTTTGTTTGCGCACACTCTTCCTCTATTCTAGGTTGTCAAAAGATTCTCCGACTCGTCGGTTTCTCACCAGCGCGTTCTCTGCGCGAGCTCTATTCTCGCTTGTCTTTATCATGTCTCTGTACCTTACAGGCGTATCCCCGCAATTTACCATCAGTCGGAAATCCTCGCCTCGGTTCTACCAAAACCCTGCCGGACTACCGAGTATCTACATAGAGTTCGTGTCCAGCATGCTCACTTAGAAGCTAGTAACGCCACCGGGATCCGGGGCAGCGCTCGTTATTCGTAGCGTCAATCTGGAGTCGATGCTAACTAACCAGTCGCGGGGGTAGCACAACACACTCCGGCCGTCCACCAGTCTTGGCTCGTCAAGTTGTAACACTTCCAAAGCAGGGTGGCGCTGCATGAACCGTACCAACGCGAGGACTCCTACATACATGTTGGCAAGAGATACGGAGCGAAGCTCAGGGCAGGGCACGCGATCGAGAGGAATGAGAGTGGGCGGATCGCAGCGGCTGAAGTTGACGTGGAGATTTTGTAAAGCGGGAAACGAAGACAGAAAGACATTGAATGTTGTTGCAGTGGTGTTTGCCATGCTCAATGATCCGATGTCGAGCCTGGTCACCGAACGCAGCGCCGCGTGCAGAGGGCCGATGGACTCAAGCCTCAGTTCGCCTTCAATCTTGAGATCCTGGATACGGGCGTAGTTGGGAAGTATTGTCAAAAAGTCACCGACCAGACGATCGACTGAGCCTCTCCGGCCCGGAAATAGCCAGATCTGTTGGCACAGTCGGGTGAGTTGGGCGTTTTTCTTCGGTTTCCGCGCAT